ATGACTATCCGACTTGAAAGGTAATTATTAAAGCACTGGTCTTTTATGCGCTCTAATTATATCATGTATCATAGATTATGAGGTGGATCATCTATAAATCTGTGGATTAAAGGGTGGTCCTGTATTTTACAAATATCTTTTGTAACGTTCTGTCTATCCAAAGGTATCCGGTTATGATTACAATCGCCAAGTTTACACAACTTATTGTTTTATTTTCAGAGTCAAAATAGATTTTGTAGAGGAGATGTAATATATGTCTTACATGGTACATGATATAAACGGTTGACTATTTGATTTCTCTCAAGCCCCCCTTAAGTCTAGGAACGGCTGTCGAGAATATCAAGTGAATAATTATGGCTTGAACGCGAACGACGTTCTGCCACTTTTTTTCAAATGTCTTTTACAAACATGTTCTTCACTTTTGGCCGTTCCGACAGGTAATGGGGGGTGGTTTGCGTCAAATAATCCTAAAATAAAGATAAGATTCTGTTACATTAGAAATTGATAGACCGAAACTGTTATTTAATTGAGAATTACATTCGTAGATACAATCGTTTATTCTATGGCTTTTATATTACATTTTTTTATACGTACCTAATTTACCCACTGTCGATACATTAAATTTTTAGCGAGCTGATACTTGATCCTTTTTTTTTGTTATCCTATTTATCATCTGTCTATGTTGATCTCGAAGTGATCCATTCATTAATTTATAATCAGCAAAGCTTAAGCCCAATGAGTCATAGACTACTGATGTATAACTAACAATAAACTCAATAGATCGGTTTCATGTCCATTCGGATGGCCTTATAAAATCGTCATTTACGTTTGTTTAAAGTCAATATCAAAATTTAAAGTTCTGTTTTCCATGAACATGTCCCAAAAATTTGAAAAGACAATTTTAAAAGTACATGAAAGAAGTAAAGTATCTCTTGGTTTTTTTTTTTTGGAAAAACGACTTGTATTTCATGGTATTTACAGTGATTATTCTCAATATAGAAGCACTGTTTCGTGCACTGTGACTTCATGTTAGGTAATGCCATCCTGGCATTAATGCTCACATCGACATTCATTCCACCTAGTGAATAGAAGAAAGAAAAGGCAGAGTGTAGCTTAATACTTAAAATGGTTGGAAAGCTTTTCAGCTGAGTTAACTTCAGGAAGTCGGAAAGATCATTGTGAATCTCTAAACATTTGTTTACGGGTATAGGAAGGAGTTGATTGATACAGCATACGTCAGTTTTTCAACATTGGCTCATCTGAAGACTCAGGTTCGGGTAAAGATTTTGATATGAGGAGTCTCCTAAACTAATTAAAAGAGACAGAGATTATGACAAGAAAAATAAAAAAAAAAAAAAAGAAAAAAGAAAAAAAAATTACAGCAACCAGTATTCCTAAGTGGTCCCCCACCATAGTACTGACTGGCCCAGATATTGCTTAACTGCGGAGATCAGACGGGATACGGTGTATCCAATATTGTATCGCCGTACTTGGATTTTAAAGCCAGCTAAAAAATTAATTCTTAACCGTATCAAGCCGGCTTTCAAAGTTACAAAACCGAAATGACAAAAAAAAAGACCCAAGAATTAATATGATTAATTGTTTCTTGATCTAAAATAAATAAAAATAGCTTTCCCTAACGTGCCACCAATTTTTAAGCGACCAAAATTTCGAATTTGTATCAAACAAACGTCAAACATGGAAAGTCAACCTATTATGTAAGAAGAAAAAATAGAAGTTAAAAATAATTTTTATTGGTGGTGTCATGATCGTGTCACGTAGATGCATTAATTTTGGTAATTCTTTGTCAGCACCTTGTCATCTACGTGTCAGCCATCAATCATCGAATATGTGTCATAAATAAGTAATGACTTACTAAACTTTGTCATTGCTTATTTCTATGCTAAATATCTATACAATCCTTTACTATAACTATAGCCTAACTTTCCCTCCTCTTTCTTCCCCTTCATCAGATATATTATCTAACCACCCTCTCTCCTCTTTTCTTTTCTCTCTCTCTCTCTCTCTTATAATAAATATAATAACTATGTTTTATTTCTTTGTTCATGTAAACAAGTATTCTTCTGTCTGTCCTGTCCGCCCCTGACAGGTGGTTTTAATCGGCATGTATTTATTTTTCTATACCAAAGGTACTTCATTTCAGCACATTTTTGAAGAGTTTGTACCAGTTTAACGCGGTCACTGCTGTTGATGCATTTATCAATATTATAATGATTGTTTTGACTTTGCAGTATATATCGTATTTAGTGATTTGGATTGCTTTTAATTTTTTTTGTTCGCGGGGCCAAGCAAAGCGCAGGGAGCGGCTGTTACAGCATCCCCAGCGGTGACGCTTAAAAAGAATTTTTCGGTTACAAAAGCACATAATATTAGTATTTTTACCTCCAGCAGTGGGCTTAAGGTTCTTTTATCAAACTGAAATTTTTAAAAAAAACGTTAAAATTTCTCTAAAGGAAGAGATTTTTTAAAGTAAAAAAAAAAATCCGTCTTTGACAATAAACCATTAACTCTTTTTAAAAAAATTAACCCTTTTCCTCTTTCAAGGAAACGAACAATATGTACGACTCGGACAACGACCAACCTAAGTTGGACGTTGTTCTTTACAACCTCAATGTTGATGATAAGAAGTTGGTCAATGATGATGACAACACCAACGTTATGGACTACACCTGTGACAACGACAGCGATGGGAGTGATTTCGAGTATTTAAGCGAAGCTACTGCTATTGCGTCTAACTGGCCTCATACTTGGACAACTGCTCCAAACCTCCATATATTTAAGTCGTGGCTGGTCGTCTGGAAAGGTCCTATAGCAGGATATTCTGTAAAATCATCTGTTTTTTTTGGAAGTGTATCCTTTCCAACTTTAAGGCTTCCGGCGAACAAGCCTGTCCAGAAAGAACGGAAAAGGTTTGAAAGACCACTGGAGAGTTGTTTCTGCTTTGGTCAACAAGTTTTGTGGTATTGATGCTTGCAATTAAACGACGTAATGCAAGTGGTAAAGTTGCCTCCGAGGAGGTAAAAATTATGATTAGATTTGTCCTAAAATATCAGGATCTAGAGCAGAAATTTCTTTAAATAGGTACGTAATAGCTTCAAGCTTTTTGAGCAAAAGTATCAATTTTTATTTAAATACTTCACTTGCTTTCAGGAAAGTAATGATCCCCCTTAAGTGTAAAATCAGTTTAAGCGCAGAGATGGCAAAATTGAGGCAAGGAGGGAAAAGGTCATGAATAGTAAAGTGGATACCTCTTCAGCTCCAGGTAGCCATACTGATACTGATGCTGGTAGTTCGGCAGCAGTCAATGACGATGAGGATGCCATGAGTGACGAATCAGTTGCAATGCTTTCTATATGACGTAAAAAGAGCAAGAATAATGCCCATTTGGACAGGAAGTACAGTAAATTTTCCCCTGAATATTGTGCTACAAGACAAAGACAGTTAAAAAATGAATGTTCATGTTATAGTTATTGACATCTCATTATAGCCTTTCTATAGGGGATCATAACATCCGCGTATTATCTGGATGAATCTACCAACGACTGTTATCAGCCCATCTGTGATCAATGGCTGAAATAATGTGTATATACAGACCCCCTTTTATTTGTTTAATAAAGCCTTAGTTTATTTTTGCAGTTTGATAATTTCACTTTGTTAAATTTCCCATATTATTCTTAATTCGCTATTATCATTCCCAAATTTCTCAATGAACTTGTCATTCAACAAATAAACTATAATGTTCTAGAAGTGACGGATATGAGTCAACTAGTTCCTTCTATAAAACAATAAGCTATATCTCATACATAACTGATTTCTAAATCTAATTCTGCCATTTCACAGTTTGCAAGAAACTAGTCAATTCGATCTGCGCAGAAAAAATCTCGAAGTAAAAATTGAATATAAAAAGGACCTCTATTTTTATCATGACAAGCTGTCGAACTTGTAATAAAGGACTGTAGAGTCTCATTTGTCTACTAGCTTTATTTTCCAATTTACATTTCACTTTTTTATCTTCAAATATCACACCATCCACCCTGAAGAAGGTCTATAATGTCAAAAGGTTAATTTGTAGAAAAGTTACAAGACATTTTGTCGAAGCTGAGATTGCTGTTAGTGATAGAGCAGATTGAATTGTTTTGACTCCCCGCATATCAATATCTGCAGATAATGCCAACGTACTATTTATCCTCCTTCAACGTCAATTTTCTGTCAAACCTGCATTTGGAATGAACATCAACAAATGACAATGTCAAACTCTTTCCTTCACTGCTATTTGTCTCCTTAAACCCGTTTTCACGAACGGTCAATTTTATGTTGCTTTGTCTCGGTTACGTGATTCTGCTTATCTTAAATTAATGTGACTGAATGAGCCGCCATTATCAACCCTCGCAGACAATGTTGTATTTAACGAAGTCATAACTAAGACACAAAATTAAGTACAAAGTAATCATTATCAATAGAATTTATTTTTATACCATTTATAAGCATTGAGTTGCGTCGGGGTTTGCAGCAAACTTGTCATGGTCCCCAGCAATAACGTAGGTTATTTTTACCGTAGCGAAGCGAAGGTCAAATAATTGCAAAAGTGGGCTGGGCCATGTTCTCGTTTAGGTAAAAAAGTATTCTCATTACACGTTTTCCAGAGATGAAAGAACAATGAACAACAGTTTTCTCATTTGCCATTTGGTGAAGGCAAAATCTGTTTCAATCGTTACGACATCAAAAATGGAATCCTTGAATGTCGAGGTGGGCATTGAAATAATGATCATATACATTTTTTTAACTTTATTCTTTTGTAAATTGGACCTGCAAACAAAGTCCACACTTTTTTTTTAATATCTTACAGAAAAAGTGACTTTTGTATAAGAAATACACTAACACGTCATCAATTGGCGGGGCGCAGCTGTTTTTTTTATTTTAAACATGGATTTTATTTTTTTTATTTTTTTCCTCTTTTTCTTTAAACAAGTCTTCCAAAAATGATTGAGAACGTTTTTAACGACGAGTAAGTATTAAATAAGTAATTTACAAGCCCTTCATTTACGCGATGCTAATGTTGAGAATGCTTAGGTTAATGTGTGACATTACACACCGCGGCTACTTGTGTTTCTTTTTCGCCTGGTTCCACGCCAGCTTTGCCTTTCTTTTCCTTTGGGAAAAATTTGCTTCTTTCTTTGGTTCGGTCTGCGCTTCTGCCAGTAGTGGTCGCCGACCATTGAGAAAAACACAATCGGAGGTGATTGGAGAGCTTTTTGTCCTTTGCGATGGCAAAATCACACCGGTCGCCTTGGCAAAAAAAAACTCCTTGGTGTCTTCTTCTTCTTCTGTGACTTCTTTCGCTGCTGTTGGGCCATCTTCTTATGATGCGCCCTCTTCTTCCAGGGTCCTCTCCTCTTCTGTTGTTACTTCTCCTTCTGTTCTTGCCTGTTCTGCTGCTGCTCCCTCTCCTGCTGCTCCCTCTCCTGCTGCTGCTGAGCCCTCTCCTGAGGCTGTTGCTTTTTCGTCTGTGTTCCTCTCTCCTTTTGCTGTGCCCTCTGTGGAGTCTGAGGTTACTAAGCAGTCTTTCGTCCTTCGGTCTGCGCCCGTCTCGTCCAAAAAAAAGGACAGACAGTTCAGCTCCTTGGACTTTGCGCGTGTTGCGGGCTTGCCCTGTATTAGTGATGGTAACTTGCCTACCATCGGGCAACACAACCAAAACGTTTCTTCTGGGGTTTCCTTTGGCGTTGGCTGTGAAGCCATCACCCAAGCATTGCTTGCGGCTGGTGTTGTTGCTCCTCCTGTTGCCTCGGTTGCTCCTCCTGCGGCCTCTGCTGCACGTCCTGTTGCCTTGGTTGCTGCCCCTGTTGCCTCGGTTGCTGCTCCTGTTGCCTCGGTTGCTCCTCCTGTTGCCTCTGGTGCTCCCCCGGTGGCCTCTGGTGGACCTCCTGTGTCCTCTGTGGCTTTTCCTGCGGCCTCTGCTGCTTTTTCTGCGGCCTCTGCTGCTCCGCCTGTGGCCTCTGTTGGTGTTCCTGTGGCTTTTTTGGCTACTCCTGCGCCCTGTGTGGCTTCTCCTGGGGTCTCTGTTGTTGCTCCTGTTGTTTCTGTTGCTCCTTCTGCGGCTGTTGTTGCTATTTCTGCGACCTCTGTTGCCCCTCTTGAGGTGCCTACTTTGGAGTCTGGCGTCTCGTGGAGTTCGTTTGCTCCTTCCGTGACTGGTCCCTTTGTCTTCGGTTCTTCGGTCAGCTCGTCTTTGCCTGCTTCTACCCCTTTTGGTGTTAAGCAATTGGTTGGTGCCTCTTCGGTTGGCATATCCGCCGAACCTGCGCCTCCAGTTGTTTGCTCGACTGCTTGCTCCCTTCCTGTTTCTTCTGCTGGCGAGTCCTTCTTCGCCAAATTAGCTGCTGATGAAGATGGTAAGAAAAAGAAATTTTAAACATATTATAGTCTTTCTAATTAACGTTTTCTTTTCGATGTAGAATATTTGGACTCGCTAGCAGAAGAAATTGATAAACTTCTTGATCGAGATTTCGATTTTTAAAAATTTTGTTCAAGTCTTTATTTTCAAATGTGCTTTCGTAAATAATGTGTGGAGTTTGGTTATAAAGAGTGGGTATATTTTGTAATTTCAAGTTGAAGGTTTGGGTTGTAAGTTGTTAATTTAGAAGCAAACAAGTCAACCTCATGACAAATTTGACAATTTTTATGTCATTGAAGTAGTGTGGAAATTGTACTTTTTTTTTTTTGAAAAATAACCATCAGTTCATTTAACACATTACCATTTCGAAATTTGAAATTGTCGTACGATGGACGTCCAAAACATTTTTTTAGTCCGTTGTCTCGTATATCAAGAAGTATGATGAAAAAATTGAAAGATAAACAAAAATACGACAATGAGTAAGAACACACACCGAAAAAGTTAGGTTTTTCGTTTATTTAAAAATAGAATTTTCGTCTCAAGAAAATTCTTTTTTTCCCTTTCAGAATTGTTTATCTTTTTTTTTTTTTTTTTGCTGAAATGATTCTTCATCTTTGCAATGGCGGCCAATGTTAAAAACCACCTTCTCATGAGGTCGAAAGAGAGCTTTGCATCAACAATTCCATTTCTTATATTTCGAAACAAAAGCGCTTAATGACATGCCGAACAGCAATATGTACAGTGACACTGATAATCTTACTTTTTCCATGCAACAACATTAAAATACTAACTGCTTTAATAGATTGTCCAAGAATGAGAACATTCCGGGCATCGAAACAGTCTGCATTGAACAAGATTCATGTGCAACGTTTAAAAAAAGGTTTAATCGCAAACCAGGTTTATTAATAAGTATTATGAATGACAGAAGCATCCGTAACGTCGAAGCATATGGAAAACATGATCGAATAATTCGGACATGTAAGCATGGTAAATAAAAAGAGCGATGAAGATGAAGAAAAAGAAGCAGAACCAAAACCTACTATTAATGGGAATGTGACAAATCGTGCCAAAACGAATGTCGCTAACTATGCAGATATGAAATTTAAACATACTGCTCAACACCAAATTGAAACCAGTCAAGATTTTTATAATGCCGAATCACAAATTAGAGTGACATATATCCAGTATTTGCTACTAGTATCGATGTTAAAAACGCCTCATTAAGATAGCTACTGATACTACCATTTAGTTTTTATTACTACTTTAAAGTTGGCTAACGTCAGTAGCCTACCTGCTTTACAGAAATGGTCCAAAACAATTAAAATAAACTTAAGTAATGTCTGGAAATATAGTGTTACGAGATATTAAGCCTGTTCATATATTTTGAATTAATCTATGCTGCTGAAGTTACAAAGGTATGATGCAATTCATTACCGTTCTTAAAATCGTCTTCAAATCGTTACTACTCTGAACAAAACACCCTATTAAAAATCCTGTCTTTTGTCTCCTAGAACATCGACGTTTATGACGAAGCTTATTTTGAACTGGTCAACAAATCTTCTGGGAGAAAATCAAGTTCCAACTTATTTATCTTTACAAGATCTGGGGTTGTTCGTTATATTATTTGATGTTTCGCCCTAAATTAGAATATAGAATCAACACTAGCAGCGGTAGACATATTGGGGTAGGAGTGAAAAATCCAAAAATCGAAGATATAAAATAAAACAAAGTATTAAAAAGGAACCAAATTTTATTGAACATAAAAATAATGATTTCTTTTATACAAAATGAATACAACAAAAACTAAAAGCGGGACCATGCCATCGTGGTTAGATTATATTTTAATATTGTCCAAGCTGTCAATAAACCCGCAAGGAGCAGTAAGGAGAATATAATAAAGAACCCGTTCTTGAATAGGCATTTGGTGTTACGTGAACTCTGAAATTAGCAGCTGACATATGATAAATATGACAGCAGTGAGAATACTTCAATCGTCGTAGCACAAGTATATTACCTTAGCTAAGGTGTATTTACAGCTCTCATATAATAAAGAGCACAGTACGACGTACATGATGAGAACATTTTCAAAATCGGAACAATAACAATAGTCTTCCATTCTCTGCATGATCAAATACCTTGTATGTATTTCCATATTGCTATTCGTTTAAAATCTTTAATAATGCGTGTTGTGTTGAAAGGTAAACTAAAATTATCAGAAAACTAAAGAAGAACTTTGATGTTGTTTATAAGATGTCCTTATTTAAGATATAAAATATGCGAGTTTTTATGTAAAAGACTTTCTGTTGTGTTCATATCACTAGTGCTATATAGAAATTATTATTGATCAACCACAATAGTATACGATTATTACATAGATACTAATTTAGTCTTGTTCTAATAAATGTGAAGTCTTCTGAACTCTCTTTGCTTTAAGCTAAACTTTGAGTATTTCTCAGACATACTAAGTTAGGCATTGATGTAATATCCTTATAGTTCTTACTATGATATTTATTGTTAAGCTTATATCACAAATGGAATACACACGTATATACAACTTTTAGCTGTAATATGACTATAGTCTTGCTACGTTATTACTGTTTATACAAAAACAACAAAACAATCACAGGTATCGTGAACAGAAAATCCCGAAAACACAGTCGTTGCTTCAAAATCCTAAAACGTTTGGTAAGAATTGTAAAAAAGAAAGACCTAATCATGTCAAGATTGTTTCTATAACGATGATAGTTGTGGGATGCTTCGTATTTGCATAGACTACATATTATAAAGTATCAATAAAAGCGATCCTTCTCACAGGCGAAATATAGACGACTTACTTGACAGGATTAGCGGGTAAACGCAAGGACCAGAAATATGTGTGCTCTAGAGCCTCTAGACATATTAACCTTTTTGTCGGGTCCAGAATAAGTAACTTGTCTAAGAGGTCGGTAGCAGCGTGATTACAATTGTAGTATTCGCGTCGAACACGTCTCACAGTGTTTTTGCACCTGGTCTTTCTAGCATCTGGTAATTTGTGCCAGTTTGGCATGTTCTGTTGATTGGGTGAGGGACATAAATTGAATATTTTTTCAGCTGATCATGGTTGTCTTGTCTTTGTAATGTAACCCTGGATTTGATAAGCTCACCGAAAACATATCTAACGCCCCAAATGTCAATTGCACTGGTGTATTGTCCTTCATCAAATATCATCTCGGCCGGTCTATACGATCTAGTACAGCGGACTTGGTGTATTCCTGATTACCGTTTTTTATATCACGTGCAAGACCGATATCTGCAATTTGTATAATACCGTCATTGTTGTCTAAGATATTGGAAGCTTTAAAAAATTTAGTTCAATCCGAAAAACGTTGTAACCATTTGAAAATTGGTTTCATTTTTAGTTGTACAATTTACCTTTTATGTCGCGGTGAAGGATGCCGTTTCTTTTACAAAAACAGTGTTAGTAAAATTATATGTCATGCTAATCTTTATACTTTAATTTGTGCATATGCGCTGCTGCTTCGAATAATTACTTCAGGTATGTCTTTATTTCTTGGGGTGTTAATTGAACATTCGGGTTATACATTAAACCTGGCAAGTCATGTTCCATACGTGGAAGCAGGATATAAACATTTCGGCCTTTCAAAAAATAAAATACAACGGGTTTTAGTTGGACACTCAAGTCTTCAAATAAGCATTAATCGTACCTGTATCAACCACAACGTCACGTAAGGGAAAAATATTTTTATGGTTGAATTGTGTACAAATATTGATTTCCTGTAAAACAGAGAGGTGTATCTAATACGATTAAGACCAACTCTTATGTAGTTTACAGTCCTAGTATATTAGACTTACCCCTTCCCCTTCGTCGCCGGTTGCCATTCTTGTTAACGCAACCAAGTCATTGCTTTGTTTCTTCCTTGCGTTCAAAACTTCACTGTAATGTAATAATATTTACTTCAGACTTGACATTCAGTAATTACATGAACTAATACAAACTTACTCGTGACTGCCCTAGCCATGCTTATCCAAAAATTTATAGTCTGTTACTTTGGGACGGTCCTTGGATTGTGGTTCATTCAAGTATTGTGATAGTGTATGGGCTGTGTAGGTAATTGCTGCGTCATTCCTAGCTGACGATGGCATGTTTGAAGGTGAGTCCTCAAGCTTTCGTTTTAAATCATTTCGGCTTTCTTCAAATAAGATGTTATTGTATGATCTCTTGTTTCGCGGCATTTGTAAAACAAATTTTTTTTACATGAGCTTCTAAAGAGAAGAAGGAAACTTCAGCTCCGAAGAAAAAAAAACATTGGGAAGTATAAGACAGTCACACTATGTTAATTGTCGCATATATCAAATAAAACCGGAATTTGAATGCTTGAGATATTGGTGGTAAAATAAGCCATAAGCCATCTTGGTTAATTTTGACATCTCATTTAATTACAAATTCAAAGACTAGTCATCCCACACAACGGTAACCTTAATTAGCCTTAACTCTCAAAAAGTAAAATTCTGAAGGGTTCAGTCTATCTATTTCATAATGAACATTTTTTTTTGGGCGGGATTTCCAAAAAAAAAAAAAAAGCTATCTCCTGGATGAATTTAACATGTATCAAACATTGAGCTCTATCATGATCTTTATTAGAGAGTAGTTCATAAACTAATAGAGCTCGATTTTTAAATCTTCACACAAACTATTTTACAGATAGCGAAACTAAATTTGCCATTTATAGAGGGGAGACCCAAAGAAGTTCGGGAGGTGATTTACAGTGCAACAAATTCATAAAAATCTATCAAAGAAATCCCGGTTAAAAGTTTTCCCGCGATAAATTAGATTCCTCTGGCAAAAAATATGAATATCACCAGTGTAAAAATCGGAGTTTCCAGATCTGAAAATGTCCGTTTTGACGAAAATTGTTCATTATAAAATAGATGCACTGTACGATCATGAAAGCATGTAACATCATCCAAAACGTGATTGTTGAGGATGAGCGCGACGAAAGCGATATGGGATGTTACATATACCATAAAACGCATTCTGCTAAGCCTGCTGAGGTTACTGAGATTTCTCGTGATCGTTCACTTTTAAGCTTCAGTAACTTCTTGAAACGTCAGGATCATATCAAAGATTAATCTTAACACTTCAGATTAAAAGTTGCGCTGGTGTCGCATGTTTGGCACATTGAAGGATTTGAAAGCTGCTCAAACTAAAATAAAAAATCACATTATAAAATTATTAAAATCGATTAAAAATTAACTCAAAAGATTTATCATTCTCTGGCAAGTTTTGCGTTTCTTGCTCGTTCCCAAGATTGCTCTAAGATTTCCTCTCGATTAAACTTATAAGAAAGCAATGCCGTCTCGTCACCTTCAAAATCCTTTAAGTTAATCTTAAACAAAGCGTCATCTATTTTTCGATCACGCTATTAGCGATCTTTATTCCATGTAATAAAGTTCGATCTCGCGGGCATGATCCATCTTTTCAAGGACCTTCCTAAAGTTATCGTCCCCTTGAGATTAGATCTTGTCCAATCCATCCAAATGCTCTTGGTACTTGTTGTGCAAATCGGCATCTTTCTTGCTCATTTGACGTCCAAAAGGACGCAATGCAAACGATTCTGCACTCATGGCTTTCTCATCGTCATCGACTGCTGACGGCCTACCATCATCAGTATCAGTGCAAGAAACAGTGTCTATTTGTATGGAACTGGTGCAGAATTTTTGGAACATTTGTACCGCTTTTTTAATGAAAAAAAGAGAAGCCGATTTAATAGTTTAAGCCATCAAACAACAAAGAGAATGATGTCCTACGCAAAAATAAGTTTTGTTGTATGATATCTAATCATCGTTTAAATGGGTATCGCGTTGTAGTGAACAGATTCTTTAAATTCAATATTAAAGTAGTTTTTGGAGGCCGTAGTACCATCAAATTCTAATAGATGATCATCTGAAATCACAAAAGGGGTTAGACCAGAGCGGTAAGAGCACTGTAGCAGTTACAATTAAAAAAAACTCTTACCTTTAAGAGCACTAAAAAGATTATGTCTACCTGAATAGATTTTTTTGTTTTCTCTGTACAATTTCTTCCTTGTCAAAGTAGCTTGCATTGTTTATTTTATTGAAGAAGGAAAAATGAATGATTATTGCTACATTAATTTTCAATTTTGGAAAACGTGAAGGTAAGACAAACAAAACGTTCAGGATATTGCTCGAGGCAAAAACCTTAATTTTTAAGCCCCGCTGCTAAGTGCTCTAAAAGTAAAACAGGTTGTTTTTATATGATATGAAGATATCATAAATAATGTAGACTTTCGATCGTAAATGCACTCTTTCATAACGAGGAAATTAGTGCTGGCGCCAACTTTATTCAGGAAAAAAAATGCAAAAAAAAAGAAAAAAAAATGTTCAGAGTTAAAAATAGAATTATTAACTCATCATAAAAAACATCTTTTTTCCCTTTTCAGATTTTTTTTACCAAAATAATTCGTCTTCTTTTTAAATGCGACCAGTGCTTAAAAAAAAACCTCAAGAGGTCGAGCTCTACATCCCCAGCTAAAATTACCATTTCCAAAGACAAATGCGTTTCAATGCACTAATGTCTGGTAGTAACAACAGTAAGACATGTCCTTACTTTCTTCAGGCGGAAACCAAAAAAATAAGAATAGCCTAAATAAAACGTGGAAGAACGAATGAGGTTGAAGAGAACATTCCCAACGTTGAGGCAATTGCCATTGAACAAGGTTCATGCACATTGTTAAAAAAAAAAAACTTTCATCGCAAACTAATTTTACAAACAGATATCATGAATGACATAAGCAGCAGTAATGTCGAAGAATATGAAGACAATATCGAAGAAGCCAAAGATGTAAGCATGGTAGTTGATGGGGAAGATGACGATGACGATGACGACGAAGGAGAAGAAGAAGAAGAAGAAGAGGAAGTTTGTGCCGATGGGAATATCGAAACAAACGTCGAGAAGAATGTCGATCCTAAAAAAACTGAGGAACAAATCAGAGCAGACATGTATGGATTATTTGCTGCCAATTTTAAGGTTAAGGAAGGTCTCACCGATAAAGCAGCTGATACCCTTCTTCAGTTTTTGAACATCGCTTTAAAGGATGCCAATAATAGTAATCAACCTGCTTTGCCAAAGTCGTTCAAAACAGTTGAGAAAAATTTTAATGGTGATTGGGATGCTGGTGTCACCAGATATACGGTTTGCGAAAAATGATATTCAATCTATGCTCCTGAAGTGACCAAGGTATGATAATTCACGTTCTTAAAATCAACGTCTAATTATTATAATGCAGGATAAAATACCCTCTCAACAATCAGGTTCTTTTGTCTCGCTGGATGGTGATGTTTGTGATGAAGTTTTGTTTGAGCAGGTGAGGAAACGTAATGGCAACAGCATCTACAAGCCCAAATTTGTTTACCCCTAGAAGTCTCTCAAAAGTTCGTTGCAAGAGTTGATGCTTCGCTCCGAATTCGAATCTACAATGAATGATTGGAGATTAAGAGATGTTGTTCCAAGAACGTATTACGACATATATGATGGTAAAATGTTCAAAACATTGATGGATAACACCGGCCTTCCATTTTCAACATTGCGAAATCCGTTGTATGCAACGTCAAATGTCGACTGGTTCCAACCTTTTGATAATGTAAATTATTCTTGTGGTGCTATTTACATGTGCATCAATAATTCGAAAACAGAAGACCGATTTAAGGAAGAAAACATCATCCTGGTTGGGCTTATGCCTGTTGGAAAAGAGCCAAAACTCGACCGAATCAACACGTACTTGAAACCATTGGTTGATGAGCTTTTAGAATTGGAAAGAGGAGTGGTGATGAAAACGGCGGCGAAACCTGACGGGATTAAAATTCATTATGCTTTGTTGATGTTCACATGCGATATCCCTGCTTGCAGGAAAGTAGCTGGTTTTGCAGCTCATTCCAGTGGCCATGCGTGTAACAAGTGTGAAGGTCAATTCCCCTTGGTTGAAGGTAGACCTGATTTTTCCGGAATCAACACTGTTGCCAGTAAATGGCCTGAACGATTGAAGGCAAGCAACTTGCGAGCGGCGTTGAGTTGGCGAAATGCCACTACTGAGAAAGAAAGAGAGGACCTCGGGAAGGCAAATGGAACAAGGTATTCCGAACTGCATCGATTGGGGTGCAAAAATGTTGTTATACAAAGCATTATTGATCCCATGCACAATCTTTTTTTTGGGGTCATGCTCAAGATTTGTGAAGATTTGGAAGGAAGAAGGGTACTTCACCAAAGTCAACTTGGAGCAAATGCTAGTTCTTGCCGACTCGGTGGAATTACCTGCTGGCTTTGAAAGTGTTGATCAAAAGATTGCAAGTGGTTTTACCAACTGTAAGGCTGACAACTGGAAAAGTCGGTGCCTGATGTATTCCACTTTTGTTTTGACAGGTAAATATTATTCGTCATAAAAAACGTCTTCTTTATTAACTTTGTAATGGACAGGTATTTTGCTCTAAGAAAACATGAGAAACTAGATGGATTTTGTAAATGCATGCAGATATATATTGAAAACCGGCATCAAACAATCCGAGGTTGATAAAGGCCACTAGCTCTTTTTGGACTTCAATAAAGTAGCGGAGGGTTTATACGGCAACAAATGTCTTGCAATGTAGCAGCATCTTCATGGGCATCTTACGCAGACCGTTGAGGATTTTTCGGCACCACATGTGTACAGGCTTTTCTCTTTCGAACGTCGCAATGGATGTCTGGGATCATTTATAAACAACGGAAAAAATGTTGAAGTTACATTCATGAAAACATTTTTGGAAAAATATAATCTTTAGCATAATAAGATCCGAGCATACAACAAAGCCATTAAATCACCATCATC